TTTCTTTTTGATTAAAATATCTAGGCCAAATCTAAGAAGCATTGTGGGACACATTAAAATGCAAAGGACTATACTGGTCTCTTCAGCATGTTCATTCCCATAAGTCTACGAGAGCAACATAATTTCAAATAAGCCCTCAACGAAGACTGATATATAATAGCCATTCCCAACTTTCTTCCCATTCCACAGAGCTCCAATATTCCCAATTCTCATTCTTGACAAAGAAGGACTCATCCACAGGAAATTGAGCCAATCAGGAATTTGATCTCACAGCAAAAACAAAAACTAACCTAATTAAAATAAATAAGAAGGGAAACTATATCTTGCTAAAAGGCACAATATATAATGAATTAATATCAATACTCAACATATATGTACCAAATGGCATAGCATCCAAATTTTTAAAGGAAGAGTTAATAAGTTACAAGAGGAAATAGTAAAACTATACTAGTGGGGGGGCTCAACTTTCCCATCTCAGAATTAGATAAATTTAACCATAAAATAAATAAGTAAGAAGTTAAGGAGATAAATAGAATTTTAGAAAAGTGAGACATGACAGCCTTCTGAATGGGAATTTAAAAAAAGAGTATGCCTTTTTCAAAGCTGCGCATGGAACCTGCACAAAAACTGACCATGTATTAGGGCATTAAAAATCAAATGCATCCTTTTCAGACAATAATGCAATAAAAAAAATCACTTAAATAAAGGGCCATAGAAGCACAGATCAAAAAATCAACTGGAAACTAAATCTAATCCTAAAGCATTAGTGGACCAAAAAAAATCACAGAAATAATCAATAATTTTATTAGAGAAAATAACAACAATGAGTAAACATATCAAAATTTGTAGGATTCAATCAAAGCAGTACTCACGGGAAAATTTGCATTTCTATACATGTACATCAATGAAAGACAGAAAGATCAATGAATTGAGCATGCAACTAAAAAACCAGAAAAAGAACAAATTAAAAATCCCCAATTAAACCAAGATGGAAATCTTGAAAATCAAAAGAGATGTTAATAAAATTGAAAATAAAAAACCAAATGAACTAATTAATAAAACTAGGAGCTGCTTTTGTGGGGGAAAAACAATAAAATAGATCAACTATTAGCTAATTTGATTTTTTACAAAAAGAAAAGAAGAAACTCAAAGTGCCAGTATCAAAAATTGAAAAGAATGAATATACTACTAAATACTAATGGATTTATTTTGCCAAATTATATACAGTAAAACTGACAACCTAAGTGAAATGGACAAATATTTACAGAAATGTATGCTCCCCAGGCTGACAAATAAGCAAATAAAAAACTTAGATAACATTATCTTAGAAAAAGAAATTTGAACAAGCAATCAATGTGCTCCCTAAGAAAAATCCCCTGGACCAGATGGATTTACAAGTGAATTCTACCAAACATTTAAGGAACAATTAATCCTGATACTATGAAAGCTTTTTGAAAAAAATAGGTAAAGGAATCCTATCAAATTCCTTTTATGATACAAAGATGGCTTTGATAGTTAAACTAGAGACAATAAAAACAGAGAAAGAAAACAGTAGATAATTTCCTTAATAAATTTCAATTAAATTTTTAAATAAAATTCTAGCAAGGAGATTACAGCAACATATCACAAAGATCACACACTATAACTAGATAGGATTCATACCAGGAAAGGGCTGGTTCAATGTTAGGAAAACTATCAGCATAACTGACCATATCAGTAACAAAAACAATAAAAATTGTAGGATTATATCAAGGGATACAGAAAAAGCATTTGACAAAATACAACACCTGTTCCTATCAAAAACACTAGAAAGCATAGGAATATATGGATGATAAAATAAGTAGTATCTTTCTAAAACCAAGAACAAGCATTATCTGTAATAGGGATACACTTGAAGCCTTTCTAGTAAGATAAAGGATGAAGCAAGGATGTCTATTACAAAACTTTTAATGAATATTGTATTAGAAATGCTAGCAATAGCAATAAGACAAGAAAAAGAAATCTGAGGAATAAAAATAGGCAGTGAGGAAATAAAACTATCACTCTTTGTAGATACTAAAATTGTATACTTAGAGAACTCAAGAGCATCAACTAAAAACCTAGCTGAAACAATTGACAACTTAAGAAAAATTGCAGGATATAAAATATAAAATAATAAAATAAATTACCAGCATTTCTATATACTACCAACAAAAGCCAGTAGGAAGAAACAGAAAGCAAAATTCCATTTAAAATAATTGCAAACAATATAAAATATTTGGAGTCTACCTGCCAAAACAAATCCAGAGATTATATGAACACAATTAAAAAAACAATCTAAGTGGTTAGAGAAATATTAATTGCTTATGAGTAGGTCGAGCCAATATAATAAAAATGACAATTCTGCCCAAGTTAATTTACTTATTCTGTGCCATACCAATCAAACCAATAAAGAATTACTTTATAGATCTAGAAAAAATAATAACAAAATACATCTGGAAGAAAAAAAGTTCGAGAATATCAAGGGAATCAATGAAAAAAACAATGTGAAAGAAGATGGCCTACTAGTTCCAGATTTCAAACTACGTTACAAAGAGGTAATCATCAAAACAACCTGTACTGGCTAACAATCAGAGTGGTGGAATAGTGGAATAGAGTAAGCACACAATACATAGTAGTAAATGGCCATAGTAATTTAGTATTTGATAAACCTGAAGATCCATGCTTTCGGGGTAAGAACCCAATATCTGAGAAAAATTGGCAGAAAAACTGGAAAGCAGTTGGAAGAAACTAAGCATAGATCAACATTCTGCATCATATACTAAGATAAGGTCAAAATGGATAAATGATTTAGACATAAAGGGTAATATCATAAGTAAATTGGGGGAGCAAGGAAAATGTACCTGTCAGATCCATAGATAAGGGAAAAGCTTATGACCAAACAAGAGATAGAAAGGATCACAGGAAGTAAAATGCATACTTTTGACTACATAAAATTTGAAAGGTTTCACACAAACAAGCAGCAAAAATTAGAAGGAAAGCAGGAAACTGGGGGGAAATTTTTACAGTAAGTTTCTCTTAAAAAAGGCTTCATTTCTGAAATACATAGGGAAATGAGCCAAATTTATAAAAATATCAGCTATTCCCCAGTTGATAAATACATATGAACAGGCAGTTTTCAGAAGAAGAAATCAACACTTTCCAGAGTCACATGAAAAAATGCTCTAAATCACTACTGATTAGACAAATGCAAATTAAAACAACTCTGAGAGACCACCTCACACCCATTAGATTGGTTAACATGGCAGAAAAGGAAAATGACAAATGGAAAAAACTAGGACACTAATGCACTGTTGGTAGAGTTGTGAATTAGTCCAACCACTCTGCAGAACAATTTGGATATTGACGTTCCCACACTAGATAACAATTCCCTCCTTTCCATTTTGAGCTGTTTATTTCTGCTACCTGGTAATATCCCCTGAAAAAGATGGGCTTGTCAAGCAACAAGTGTGAAGAAAAGTCCACATATTCCACTGGTATTCATAACATCACAAAAGAATGCTAGCAAGCCCCCAGTATCATGCAGTGAAGTTATGAGAGGAATCATAAAAATCACAGAATTTAAGAGGTGAAAGGGATCTTAGCAGCCATCTAGTCAACCCAAACACAAAAGGGATTTCCAACATACACAACAATTAGGCACTTAGACTCTGCTTGAACATCTCCAAAGAAGAATCTACTACCTCTGGAAGCAGCCCATTCCATTTCTGGGTAGCTCTCATTGTTGGAAGTTTTTCTTTCCAACTAATATACCTCACCCTACCAGAGTTGCAGGAGGGGGAGAGAGGGCAGGGATAAGATAAATAAAATAATTCTAAACTCTCTTCCACCTGAAAGCCCTTCAAATACCTAAAAATTGCTCTTATGTACCACCCAAGTTTCCTCTTCTAGAGGCTAAATATGTCTAGTTCCTTAAACAGATCTTCATGTAACATGAACTCAAGGACCTTCACCATCCTGGCTGCCCTCCTCTAGATATTCAATAGATGGGTTGAGAAGTATGACTGCCTATTTGTTATGACTCTTGTCCACTACCATAGTTTAGATATAGGTAAGTTGGAAAGTGTCTAGAGAAGAGCAACCAGGCTGTGATATATGTTCATTTGCTCTTTTTTTCTGCATTAACTGATTTAAACATGAATTCTTACTGACTTTAGTCATTTTTGAATTTATCAAAATCATTATGCATAGATGTTCAGTATCTGAAAAACAAAACATCCCAAATTCATATTAACATTGATAATAACGAGCTGATTTAAGCAATTTCTGTACCAGCTGAAGTAATTCAATGTCTCCATTAGGTATCTCTACTGTTATTTTCAAGCCTCCTTTTTTTTATCAGGGAACTAGAACATACCTGCTAAAATGTTGACCATATTAGTAATTTTTAAATGGTTTTCAATCTAACTGGCACAAACAGTATCAAAGTTAAGTTTTTATCTACTAAAAATGAGATAATTTCAGTAGCTGACTAAAATTTAAATGATTAAAACAAATGATCCCACACTATCATCATATCATGTCCCTTTAAAAATGAATGCATAACAATACATAGTTAATAATTCAATTTTAGCATAATTTCTTCATGTTAGAATACTATATGGAAATAAATATGTATTTATATATTTTATGCATCATCTACTTCTGACTCAACAAAATGGTAATAATTTTTAAATGAAATCTTACGTACCATCAAGTTAAAAGGCAAAAAATTATTTTTTAAAAAACATTAATTTTTTTCCAAATTTGTATCTAAAATTATATTGAAGATACAAACCCTAAAAAGTGCTTCTTAGTCACATCATACATAATTGTTCCTTAATTGCCTACTCAATATACACTATTTTTCATTTGTGTCTGACATCCTCCCAATTTAAAACTAAATAGGAGAATTGTTATTGTTAGTAATCATTAGAAGTAGTAACCATAAAAACTAACATAAAAATTAATTTTTTCCCAACCTGGTCTCCAAAGTCCTCTGGGAACTTCCATAATACCATCGGTTCTGTAAATAATTGACAAGTAACATTAATTAGAGACAAAGAATAGGATATTACTTTCAAACTACATTAATAATAAAACAGTTGTCCTAGACTCAGAATCTTAATTGTATCAAAGTTAGCAAATATTTATGTAAATATGTACCTAAGCAAATATAATTTCTTCACATCTCTGAAAGTATAATTCTACATTATTTCAATTCTCTCATCTTCCTAATATTTACTTATCAAATTAAATGTTTTAACTAAAGGTTTCAATTGACTCTTGAACATTAAAACAAAAAAATACTTTAAGTAAAATTCAAATTTTGGCCAAATCTATTACTTCACTTATCAGATGATAACAATGATAAAATGATAATGGGGTAGAAAAATATAAATTGAAATTTTAAAATATGATGCATACTGGGGAGAAAATGATATTTTAGCGCTGCTTACACTTCAAATATTTATCTTGATATACGAATTTACTTACCTCAATTCTGAAAGGAGACTAGACGTGAAACAAGCCTGAGTAAATTTAGTATTTTTCAGTGATCAGTTCAAAGATACTAAATTATATTTCAGCTTAAAATAGCAATATTATAGTAGGATGTAACTATGGCTTGATATACATTAAAAGTTAACTCATACAATTTTATGTTTGCCCTTCCACAAAGAATTCTGTAAAGTAACTGCCACAAATGAACTAACAAGTTAATTCACCCTTGCTCCTTATTTAGGTCTTTATATTTGTAAGTCTTTAAAATATGATGATTCCACTGATATAATAGAAAGATAAAGTCCTAAATTTTTATACAGTATTGACAAATTTCTCTGGTTATTTACCTTCAATTTTTATCCTTCTAAAACAAAAAGCAAAGAACTTCAAGTATACTTCAACAGGGATCTAACAAAGGTTAATGAGTTACTTATGAAATGCCTTCAAAACTCTAAGATATAACCAACAGTTACATGAAGAATCACTGATGGATTACAGATAGAAATTTAGTACCATTCATAGCAAAAGAATAAAGAATAAAAAGAAATATAATTCTATCCCCTATTTTTTCAAACATAACATTCTCTTTTTTTCATACTCTACAAACTGAATTGTAAAATGTTTTAATTTGTCGTTGGTTTGTCCTATCAATAAATACATAGAAGATTTTTTACATAAGAGAAGAGCTAGCCCCAAATGATCTCTTTTATTAGATATGATATTCAAAAATTTTTATTTCAAATATGTTCAGCACCAAAAGAAAAAAATCCCTTGAATTTGATCTTTTTTTCCTCATCTTAAGAAGTCATATAATGAAAATTCTTATCAGTAATTAATAACCTAAAATGTCTTAAGAACAATTAAAGCCAATTTTCCAAAGAATATGATAGCCAAGTTGTATTCCCCTGCCTTATTTCTTATTAATTTGGCATAATTAAATTTTAAAATATATTTCTTCTTTTTGAAACAGAATAATTTCTTACATCAGTATATGTGACTTCTTTCTATATTACTAAAGAATGAGCTGACTGTCCAGAATGCAATGTCTTTTAGGAAATTATTTTATTTTCCTTAGGTCTAAAATAGGTCAGTCTGAGATTAAATATAATTTTTACAAAATGAGAGCTATTAAAATTAATGTTTCCAAAATTAAAAGTTATGTAACTCTATGTGAAATATTAAACATTACCCTGAGAAACAAAAAAAAAAGACATTCTAAATAAATCAGCAATTCACTACAAAAAAGCTTATCACTTATCTCTATTATATGAATGACATGAATAAATTTTCTCCAAACTGAATCTTTAAAATACCCCTTTGGTCCTTCCTGAAATTCACATTTTACACTATTCTTCATTTCAAATTTCTTCAACTTAAAATTCCTTAAAACTACTTTAAAGATATTACATGCCCCTTCTGAATTTGTGATTTATGTGTTTAAATTCCAACTTTTTGCCTCTTTTAAACAGAACTGGACTTGAAATGTAGGACTGTCTCAATGTATCTCTTGCAATCTCTATTTTTTATACTTCCTATTCCTAAAAAGTCATATGAATATAAATGCAAAAAATCTGTTAGAAATATAATATAGTAGAATACATATTTCTCTCCTTTCTTATTAAAATAAACCTTTCTTTCTTTATCCACCCAAACAAACATTATGACACAATCATCTGGGTTCATAATTTTAAACAGATTATGTTTGTTAGAGCCTCTGGGGTTAGATTCAGATAGCATCTGACATCTTTGTGGCAACTTCTCACAAATACTGCAGAGGAAGAAACAAAAGGGTACTAAATCCAAAAAAGAGAGAATAATCCGATTCTGCAACTTTATGCACTTTATTGAGATTTACAAAGACTGAATTTTTTTCCCCCTGAGGATTACTTTCCAGACACTCCATCTGATCTCCCAATGTTAGGTCAATTTTATGCTGATTTTATGGGTGAAAGGATGAGAATTGCTGGAAGAAATAGCTATTGCCAGTGATGACTGGTGTATACAAGATTTCTTGAATATCCTGTGTCTAACAGTACTTCAAGTACATATATGGCATTATCTTCATTATTTTTTAAAAAATCCCAATGGTCGTATGAAAACCAAACTAAAAATATGAAAACAAGAAGTATAAATTTGGATTTTTAAGGAAAAAATTAATTGTGTTATTTATAACTAAAATGATAACTATTGAGGAAAACATTCAAATTTATGTTTCTGCATCAAACATGCATTTTGAACTCAACAATGCTTTTAAAATATTCATTAAAGTAAAAATATACAAGTTGATACAAAGATATATCAGACATTATCAGAATTTACATCAAAAATCAGTAAGAAAACATAGTTTTATTCATGGACTCAGACCACTTTCATAATTTGGAACAGGGTAAGAGGGAAAACATATTTCAATAAAGGAAATAGGACATATTACACTAGATAATTTTCTAATAAATATTATTCTCTTATATCTTAAATTTCTAAAAGATATTCTAAAGTATTTTCTTGTAATGACCTATAGATAGGAATGGAGAAGGGTTAGATAAGAGAATTTCTAAGATTCCTTTCAACTTTGAGATTCTGTGATTCTATTTTTTCCATAACAAACAGTTCATTAATATTCCTCAAACAAATACAAAAGCAACAATGAGCTTAAAATATTTCAGTGACTTAATACTATAATAAGGCCTCAAGAAAAGGGTTTATTTGCAGAAAGAATAAGAATTACTTAATTTTGGAGAATCTATGACTAAATGGAATGTACATTTTTTTCAAGCATGTTACAATTATAACAATGGCTGGAAAATACAGTTTGGAAAAGATGGAATTCACTGGGAAAAAAATGATCCCACAAGATAACTATTATTTCTACATGTCTATATGACATTTCTGAATTCAAGATGTGTGTATGTATGCACACATATATGTATATGCACATACATATATGTATATGCACAATGTTAAATGTCCCTATAACATATATATAATTAAATGTATATCTACATATGTATGTGTGTGTGTATAACAAAATCACAGAATTTAGAAAATAGAAAGAACCTTAAAGATCCAACTCAACATCTTCATTTTACATAAGACAAGACTGAAGCTCAGAAAAATCACCTCATTAGCACAAGTTAACAGAGTAATAAGAGATCTAATTTGATTACCTTATTTTATGGTTCAGCAAGATTAGGGTTTGTGCCCTACTCAGACATTAAGAGGTTAAATGACTTGTCCAAAGTCACACAGGTAATAAGGGAAAACCAAAAGAGTGCCCAATATGACTCTGATGATTTATTCTATATAAGGAGGATAAAAAGGACCACTGTCTCCTCTTTTTCAGACTGAAAAGAATCTGCTACATCAACAAAATGCAACCGATACAATATACCTAAGTTTCAACAAGGTATTTAAACTTCAAGTGGCTCCCCAAATACCCTGGAAGAAGAGATTAAGAAATGTGAATGAGATCACAATTAAGAACTTGTTAGTAAGTTTGGGCTAGGTGGATAACCAGCACAAAGGAATACAAATTAATAGATAAGAGTCCATGGAGATAGCTCAGTCCTTGACTTGGTCTTGCTAGATATTTTTATTAATGATTTATATGAAAGCATAGATGGCAGGCTAATCAAATTTGCCAATGACAGGAAGATAGCTAGCATCCTGAATATCAGAGTGAGCTTCCATAAAATATTAGGAGGCTGTAACAACAAGCCACATCTAATAAAATGAAATTTAATAGGCATCAATACAAAGTCCTGAACTTGGCTTCAGAAAGTTAATTGAAGACCATAGAAGTGATGTCACCATAAAAAAGTCTAATGAAAGGAACTCTAGGTTTTTGGCAGATGGAAATCTCCATACAAATTAATAGTGTGATCTAGAAGCCAAAAAGCTAAAGAGACAACAGAAGTAGTTTCTCTGGAAAGGAGGTAGTAGTTCCACTGTACTTGTGTTCTGATCATATCCCATCTGGAATATGGTGTTTCAGTTCTAGGAACGATATTTTACAAAGTCACTAATAAATAGGAAGATAGTGTCTTCAAATTTGTGAAGCAATGTCACATAGAATGATTAAACTTGATTTTCTTGGACCCTCCAGGATCAATGGATAGAAGTTATGGAGGCAGATTTCCATTCTATATTGAATATAAAGATGATATATTTGCAATGATTAATTAAAACTGTCCAAAAACAGAATGGGCTAACTCTGGAGGTAGCAAATTCCCCATCATTAGTACAAAATAAATTCTTATTTAGGTGTAAGTTGAACTAGAGGGCATGTTAAGTTTCTTCCAACTCAATGGCTGCAGTTGTATGAATTCTTAAGTATTGGATAAGGCTGCAGCTGGTCCTATGAGTTTCCCTTCCTCAGATAAGTGTGTAGGTACTATATAGAGAAAGACATTTTGAAAAGAACCTGTGATGGGTCAAAAGAAAAAATAGAATGAATGGGGGGGGCAGGATAGGATTAAGGAAACTAGAGTTAGTTTTTCACAACATGTCTACTATGGAAGTGTTTTG